AAAAGAATATGACAGATTGCTTAGCTGGTCTTCTGTGACCAGTCTGAGATGTGATGCCATCTGCTGCCACCATGAAAAGAGGAGCAGGCCAGTATCAGGAGACTAAATGGCCTTTCACTTCTCCTGAGCTGCTGGTGAGTTAGTCTAAAAGGGGAAAACAGTGTTTGGCTTTGGAGGTAGTAAGACCACATGAGAACAGGCAATCGTGCTATCGAACACTTTGTTAGAAAAGGCAATCCTCTGGGCTGGTTATAGATGCCTGGCTTCCATCTTTCCTAGGAATAGAGTGAAATTTAGATCTAGACTCACCCAAGTTTATAAAGCACCTACTAGGTACATACTGGACCCTCTCAGAACATGTACTGAGCTGGGTATTAGTAACCCCTCCATTTCAAGGAAGAAGGGCTAATTAACATACCAAGGTTACAAAGGCAACAAATGAATAACTGCAACACAAGTCCAGGTCTTCTGACCCGAAGCTTAGCTCCTTGGTTAGCTATGTACCTCTGAAGCTAAGCATATTTCAATATAAAAGGTATTCATTAGCTAAGGGGGAAGTATGAACCTTCCTTTTCACCCCTCCCCCCAAGTGGGAGACTATGAAGGGAGGCATGAGAATGGCTAATAACGAATACAAACTCCATCAAATACACTGGGATTCTCACCTGCACATGATGCACCAGCTAGCTGAAAAACTGAACACAGGTAGGACTTGGTGGATTTTGTCTTAGTGCAGCAAGCAGAACAACAGCCATGACCACAACAAAAGGACTTCTAAAGAACAACGTACAGAAGCATAGAGGTTCAGAAGCTTGATGTGAAATGAGAGGGAAGACAAACAGTAAACCAGCCACTCAGGCCCTTTTGTTTGTAGTTTACTCCCACTGGAGACCTGGTTAATGGGTGGGCTCATGCCATCTGAATATGACAGTGCAAAGACGCATATTCTAAGGAGGGGTCACGAAACCTTTTAGGTGATAATAGCAAAAAGGGAAAGATCAGGCACAGTGCTGGATGCGTTTATATATCCTACGATGTAATTTTCACAAGCTGGTGAGGCAGGTTTAATTATCCCTATGAAATTAAAACTCAGAGGGGCGCCTGGGTGGCGCAGTCGGTTAAGTGTCCGACTTCAGCCAGGTCACGATCTCGTGGTCCATGGGTTCGAGCCCCGCGTCAGGCTCTGGGCTGATGGCTCAGAGCCTGGAGCCTGTTTCCGATTCTGTGTCTCCCTCTCTCTCTGCCCCTCCCCCGTTCATGCTCTGTCTCTCTCTGTCCCAAAAATAAATAAACGTTAAAAAAATTTAAAAAAAAAAAAATAAAAAAGAAATTAAAACTCAGAAAAATTAGGTAACTTGCCCAAGGCACAGTACTTAAGTTGGAATATGAACCCTAGTCTCTGGGGCTCATAAACCCCTGCCCTTGGCCTGGGCTGCCTTCACCACAGCCCCAAACCACCGTAAAACCAGAGAAGCCAGAGTGTGAGGTCAGTAAACCCATGGACCATGAAGGGATGCCCAACACTTTGCACAATTTCTGCACCCTCAGAGCAGGCTGCATACATTCTGTTACTCTGGGCTTCCACAATCCGATAAGGCATCTTTAGAAAGGAAAAGGAAGCAGGCAGTGAGCACTCAGGAGAATCAGCACTGGGCACTAGGACGGCCACAAGGAAACACTGGGCTGTGGCTTCTGTTAGGTGTCACCCACTGCCCTCTGCTGGCCACTGGAAAGAATGAGTGGAAAGAGGACCAAAGATTCATTTCAGGTTGATGCTCAAGATGATGATGGATTTAGAAAAATGCTTTATTAGAGAAAAATTCAAACTATAATAGAATATTACAGTATGTCTCATTTCTTCACCCAGCTTCAACAATATATCAACTCATGGCCAATCTGGTGTTATCTACCCCTTACCCACTTCCCTCCACCATGTTTGATTTTGAAGCAAATCTCAGACATCCTGTCCTTTCATCTGTAAAAATTTTAATTTAGTTTCTAAAAGAAACATTTTAAAACATGATCACAACTAAAAAAAAATCCATGAATCTTTCTTTAAAGCACAAGAGGCTCAAAATAAAAAAAATAAAAAAAAAAGCATTCAGCCCCACCCAAGAAGCTACAATCATGCAAATCACAGATTAATAGCCTGAACCACCCAAGCAAACAAAGACACCTCATCTTCACCTTGCTAGGATAAGCCAGCAGGATCATAGATTAAATATCTTAATTGGAAATGCAAAGCTATACACTCCTGAGTGGTAGCAAAATCTTTAGCTGAGTAGATTTGGCACATGTGCTACTAAATCTTTGTTGAATTTTTGGCTGAATCTTCCCAAAGATTCAGGAAGGCAACACTGTGTCCTCGAGGCCAAACGCTGTGCTGGGTATCCAGGCAGCTGGGGTGAGAGGTTAAGAGGTGTGACCACACCAGCTTCCTGGCAATCTCAGCCCAGGGATCAGAATCAGGCTGGAAGATTACTCGCTTCTCTGGGTTAGCTCTGTGCCATCTATCCCTTGTTACTGCAAATTTATACATCTACTTTATGAACTCCTTGAAGGCAGGATGGTGTTGTGTTCACTTCTGTATCCTGCATGGCTAGCACATGAGAGAGGCTCAGTAGATGGTCACATCACAAAAGACTGAACTAGGAAAGTCCATCATTTGACAATACCAAGTACTGGAGAAAATGGGGGAGAATGAGAACTCTCCTTTACTGCTAGTAGGACTATAGATTGATACAATCATTCTGGAGGGCAGTGTAGCAATATCCAAAGCTATGTTCAAATGCTTAGGCCCATAAGACAATAGCAGGATGTTTAAGAAAAAATGTTTTTAAATGTACATTCAGAGAATAAAAAACAAAACAAAACAAAACAGAAAGAGCTCCTGGAAATTAAAACATATAATAGCACAAACAAAAACCTCAATAGAAGGGTTGGAAACTACAGTTGAGAAAATCTCCCAGAAAGCAGAGCAAAAAGATAAAGAGATAAAAACAAAAACAAAAACAAAAACAAAAACACAGATGAAAGAAAACCAAAGGGCTCTTCAAAACCAAAGGAGTCCAATATCTGAAAAAAAGGAGTTCCAGAAAGAGAAGAGAGAAAACAGATGAGAACTTAAAGCAACAATAAAAGAACATTTTCTTATATTCTTTTTTTCTGAGTTTTCAAAATGAAAGGGCAATGAGTACCCAGTAAAATAGATAAAAACAGATTCATTATCAAAGTATATCCCTGAGAAATGTTAGAGCCCTGGGGCAAGAGAAGACCTAATCGGCTTCCAGAAAGAACACACATGAAAGACTGAGAAGCAGGATGGCATTGGGCCTCGATAGCAATCCTCAAGTGGGAAGACAATTGGAATAATAATATTGAAATTCTTTAAAAAATGATTTCTATCTCTCTCCAGCCTAAGTGTCAATTCCATGTGAGGGTAAGCTAAAGATATTTCGAGTTGTACATGGTCTCCAGAGTTGCCTCCTTGCATCCTTTCTTAGGAAATGACTGGATGGCGTGCTTCCCCAAAATGAGAGCGGGCACCGCAAAAACAAAAGGCACAAGAGTCAGGAGACGGGATCCCTCTTGCAAGACATGGAAGATGATCTACGTGGGAAAAGACAGTGGTGCAGGGAAAGCAAAGCGTATGATGTGGCTCACCTATGAATCACAATAGCAGAGTCATATGCTGTAAACTCAGGCAACTGACTTCGTCGAAGCAACTACCTTAGGACCAAGGGATGGGAGTGGTGAGTGTGTGGGGCAGGGTGGGTGCAAGAGCCAAAATCTAACCTGCCAGAACGAGCAGTCCACAGATGATGCCTGGAACTGAAACGGAGGGAGGCAGCAGCATGCACCCACTACAGAGAAAACGGGCAGGGCAGACAAAGCACCCACTATGGGTCTCTGGAGAGGGGCAGTGGGGGGAAGGGCAAGGTACTGCCGCTTTTGCAACAATATGCACAGGCAACTTTCAGAAATCCAAAAGCCAGGGGACAAGCTGTATATGAGGAGTTGTTCAGAGAACTGAGAGGGGAGCAAGGCTTCCAACATCACCTCCCATGGTTTGACTTCTCTAGGCCAGATGACAGTTCCGTTTTGTCTGTCTGTACGCCATTGCTATGTCCTAGTTCATGCCCATCAAAATTCAGCACTTCAGAAGTACTTGCAGGATGCAGATAAAGCTTTATGTTTTAATCAGGAGTGCTGAGGCCACTCAATCCAGGAGGCACATCAAGCATAGATTTTCCAAAGTTCTTACCGGCAGTGAAAATGCCTTTGGTGCTCTGTTTCATACTAGAAGGTCTCACAATTGCTGAAAGCCCTGTGAGAAAAAAACAACAAGGAGGCCAAAAAATCCAGATGTTAGTCATCTTAACACTTTTAAAACCTAAAACTAAATGTTCTTTCCAGTTATCCAATAAAATGAGCAAATCCATCTCTGTCCTGGTGTCACAGAATGACAGTGGGAAGGGTATCAGAATTGAGGGCCAGAAGCCCGGAGCCGCCGGCCATGTCACCAACTTGTGAGCACCAACTTGTGAGCACAAGGGGCCATGTCCCCTCTGGGCCTGGTCCTCCTCACCTTTATTAATAGGGGTGGATTAAGTCACCCTCAGAGGTCATTTTATGACTTTAAATCTGCTTAAGGCTGCTGGTTCTCAACCCCAAGATTTGAAATGACTTAAAAGAAAAACCCCAAAGTTTCTGCCTAGGAGAAGAGCTTTCATTCTGAAAACATATACAGGACTCCTGCGACCAGAATCATGTTAAAGTGGGAAAGAACAAACAATATGCCTCCTCACTCATCTTCAGAATAGGTACATAGTAACCTGAATGCATGCTCTGACAGCCTGGGGCAGGTCCCCGAGAGAGTACGTGGGTCCGCCCACTGGAGTTAACGCTCAGTACCGTCACGGTCAAGAGCATCTAGCGCAGGAGCCTGCATCCTTGAGGAGCTCATAAAATATGTACTCAGTAAAACAGGAAAACATGATATGTGGGGGAGGGTGTTGTTTTCAATCTTAACTATTTCTTTACTGACTGCCTTTCTACATTATCTTTAACACCTCCAAAACGAAGTGGGTCTCCGAAGATAAGATTTTTGGGTAAACATGAGGAAGGCCCTGGGGATAACATGTGGAACATATTACGGGCCACGTCAGAGGGAACCTAGTGAACACACAGAGACACATCGAAGGGGAGTTGGCTGATGAAAGCTGTATTCCTGATGTTACAAAAGCACTAAAAATGTCACCAGTCTCCTTCCTTCTCAGACCACCGTGAAGAACACAGAGGAGTCTTTGGAATAACTTCTAGAAGTTACGCTCTTGGAACCAAAACAAACATTGTTTCCCCCTTTGACAGTGATTTAGGACCCAGGAATCTGAAAACAGAAGTACTTACGCCACCCTACTTCAAACAAATGACAATTTAGATTTGGAAAAACCCCAGATTGTTAGTGCTTTCTTCTTCCCTGAGACAATCTGTCTCTTGATCTCAATTAAGCAAAAAAGAATAAAGAATATGTCACCGTCACAAAGTTTGCTTTTTACCCACGGCCAGCACTTCCTCAACGTCAAATTCATAAACATACCTCGTCGCACCACCTCTCCACAGTCTGGATCATGAGCAACTTGTAATAAAGTTTCTTCCACATCTCTGTTTTTTCCAGGAGGGTCCATAACATGATTTATTTGTTGCTGTAAGGTTTTGGGCAATGTCATTAGCTGAGTGAATTGTCCTTCTGGGCTTTTATCTATCTAAGAAAAAAAAAAAGATAATATCTATGGCAAGTTCTTTGAATTCTATAAAGATTCAAGGACATATGGTTTTCAAGTCACACAAACATACATGAACCCATACCCTGGGCGGCATACTAAGGAGACTTACTCCTTTTCTGAAACTGAATGCCTAAGAGTTCAGATCCTATGTTCCTTCAAAAAAGCCACTTCTTTTCCTATCATAGTCCATTTTTACATGAGAAAAGAATAGAAGCCTCTTTCAAGGATCAATTTCTCACTCTCAGTTTTAAAATTTCTATTTGTCTTAAATCCAGCAGTTAAAGGAAGTGAGGCTACAGTTAACATTCACTGAGGTTCAGCAAATCCAGGCGCTCAAACTCTCTCTCCATTTTAAACAGAGGGGCAGGGCGCTGAGTGACACATCCAGGATTATACAGCCAGTAGGAGAGAGGGGTGCTCTAACCTTGTGTCTCCTGCCTTCTGGGACTTTGACTTACCATGCTGGGTTTCATAAACTGTAGGAATAAATTGATGACAAGGACTAAGCTTATTCACTTTTAATCTCCCGGCACACAGGAGGTAGTCAAAAAACATTGGTTGAATAAAGGAATGTATACCTGCATCAATAAAACTTAGTTGTCATTATTTCTTACCTAGGATTAGGTAAGAAATAGAAACCAGTGGTTTCTATTCCCAAGAATTCTAAATACATCAAGTTGAAAGACAAATACAGAAACAAAACATACAAAACTATGCATCAGACTTTACTTTGAATCAAAAGTTAGCCACAGAGCCGAGGCCACACCTTGCTTCCCTAACTCCAGTTTAATATACTTTGCTCCATGGAACTAAGTTTTTACAAAATCATGTAAACATTGCCTGCCTGCCAAGGTGAGAACCAGTAACCCTACCCTCAACAGCTCATCCATTATTTTCCAGGTAAGAATCTGTCTTGTACCCTTTCAACAAATGTTTAGGTTTTAACTTTGACTAAGAGAACAATAAGAAAAAAATTAGACAAATGTATTCAATTTTAGATTCAGATTTTCCAGATATGACTAACATCTTAACAATTAGAATTCACTCATTCAACCACCTTTTTTCATTCCACAAGTATTTATTGAGTATTAATGCCTGGATTTTCTAGTTTTCTATAAAATTAATGCAAATAAGAAGAAAATACTATTATCTTGTGGCTCCAGTAAAAGTAAAGGTTTTTTTTTAACCTGAATATTTCATATTCATCATTAAGATGGTTCTAAATTCACAGGATTTGACCACTGTTTAGCTTTGCTTAGACAAAGGACAAAAAATGTGGACATTTTTGTAGATTTGCTAGAAATAACGTTTATGGACTCATATTTTGGGGCTAAGAATTGAGATTAGCCAAAAAGACCTTATATTTCTGTAAGGGTTTATCTATAAAACTTTCAGGAATTTCAGAGATGCCAAATGGCTTGAGTAATATGAGGAATTAAAAAATAGTATTTGCAGGGCACCTGGGTGGCTCAGTCGGTTAAGCATCCGACTTGGGCCCAGGTCATGATCTCATGGTTCAATCCCACATCAGGCTCTGTGCTGACAACTCAGAGCCTGGAGCCTTCCTTTGGATTCTGTGTCTCCCTCTCTCTCTGCCCCTCCCTGGCTCACATGCGCTCTTTCTCTCTCGCTCTCTGTCAAAAATAAATAAAAACATTTTTTTAATTAAAAAAAAAAGTATTTGCTACTGCTTTCTCTTGAGGAAAAGAATGCACTGGAATTTTTGCTTATAGGCATGTGTCAAGAGACAAAATATTAGGTGACATGTTCAAATAAATTGCTAAATTCTGTGTAATTATCTTTACTCTTTGATTGTCCATTAAAACATGGTAGTGAAAGCATTCAGCTAAATTGTGAGAGTCAAACTGCATTTTAAAAGCAGATATGGAAAAGACCACATACTGTATGTTTCCATTTATGTGAAGTGTCCAGAACAGACAAATCCATAGAAGCAGAAAACAGATTAGGGGTTGCCTGTGGGGAACGGGAGCTAGGGACTGCTAACAAGGATGTTTTTGGACTGATGGAAATGTAGTGACAGTTGCACAACTCTGTAAATACACTAAAAACCACTGAATTTTATGGTATGTGAATTATATCTCAATACAACTGACATTTTAAAAAAGCAGATGAGCTAAAGAGCCAAGGTACTCATTCCACTAACTGCTGGGAAAATCGGCTGGATCCCTCTCTTACAGTCTCTCTCAGACTTGTCCTCAACCAAAGGGAGCTGATTGGATCCCAAGATGAGAAGATGAAGGGGTACCACTGGCCTCTCTTCCCCAAGCTGGGATAACTAGGAAGGGCCATCTAGCTCTACAGCTCCACCATAGGATCAGATGAGGGCTTGCTTCAGATCCACTCAATTCCCATCCTACTAATAGGTACCAGGAATGGTCCTAAAAAGCATATTCCATGATGGCATTCTGGAGCTGTCATAATATGGAAGCGAGTGGAAGCCTCTGAAGCTGCCATTTTTACCTCTTATCCAACAGAGTAACTAAAAAAACCCAACACATTTCAGGAGGAAAGGCAGAGATTAATGCCATCTGTAAACCTAAAGATGCAGGGGTGTGATGTTTAATTTTGTGTCACTTGGCTAGGCTATAGTGCTCAGTTGCTTGGTCCAACATAATTAACATTTAAGTCAGTAGACTCTGAGTAAAGCAGATTACACTCTAGAATGCAGGTGGGCCTCATCTAATCAGTCAAAGGCCTTAAGAAGAAAGACTCAAGTCTCCTGAGGAAGAAGGAATTCTGCCTCCAGATAGCCCTCAGACTTAAAACTACTCTTCCCGGGTCTCCAGCCTGCTGGCTCTTCCCTGTAAATTTCAAACTTGACAGACCCCACAATTTAATTCCTTAAAATCTCAATCTCTCTCTCTCTCCACACACACACACACACACACACACACACACACACACACACACACAGACTGGCTCTGTTTCTTTGGAGAACCCTATTGGTCTCCACCATATTTCCATTAAGTCTGGTCCTCACAAAAGCCAAATGGGTTCTGGAAGATTATAGTAGACTACCACAACTCAACCAAGTAGAAGTCCCTGTTACATCTCCTGTAGATGTAGTAAGTCTGCTAGAGCAAGTCAACAGAACTGCAGGTATCTGGATGGGGCCAAGACCTGGGGAATGCATTCTTTTCCATTCTTACTGGGCAGTTGGATCAGAAGCAGCTCACATTCATGAGACAGACAACAGTATCTCTTATGGTTTGCTTCAGGGCTATGTTAACTCTCCCATCCTCTGTCATAAGATAGCCCAAGAAAACCAGACTATTTGGACATTCTGTATAATCTCATGCTGGTCCACTACATCAATGGTATGTTGCTACTGTTACCTGATAAACAACAAGGGGTAAGCACACTGGAGTCCTTGATAGATAGACATACTCCAGAGGGTAGAAGTTTCAGGAGCCTACCACATCAGTAGTTTAAACACATCAGTGTTTAGGCGTCGAGTGGTGTGAAGCATGCTGGGACATCCTCCCCAAAGTTAAGATCAGTTTCTTGCATCTCACACCTCTCACTGCTAAGATTGAAGCATGATGCCTGGTAGGCCCTCTAGGTTTTGGAGGTAGCATATTCCACACTTGGGTGTCATGCTCAGACCCATTTACCAAGTCATATAAAAGGATGTCAGGTTGGTGAGGCTCAGAGCAGAAAAGAGCTCTACGAAAGATCCAGGCAGCAGTGCAAGTGGCCCCACCCCTTGGGCCACACAACCCTGTAAACTCTATAGTACGAAGTGTATCTTCAGTATAAAAAGAAGCCACAGGAAGCTTGTGGTAGGCTCCCTCAAGGAGATCACAATGTGGACTGCTAGGGTTCTGGGGCAAGGCCCTGCCATATGCAGTGAAGAATCATACACCATTTGAAATCAGCTCCTAGATACAAGACGGAGAGATGGAGAGATGGAGCTCCTAACTATGGGTCACCAAGTCACCATGCATCAAGAACTGCCCATCACGAGCTGGAACCTCCTGTATCCATCAAGTCTTAAGGTCAGGCAGGCTCAACAGTATTGCACTGAAGATGAAAGGGGTATACTAGCATTGGACAGAAGTAAGGCCAGAAGTAGTGAGCTCCACAAACAGGAAGCCTAGGCCCCCATAATATCTACTGTGCATTGGCACAACTGTGTACAGCTGTACAACGTAGAGTACAGCACAGTTGTTCCAGTGCATACCGTTCTACTTTCCCATTGGGTCATGCATATGGCTACAGGGAGGTTCCCTTGTGATTGGATTTTGGGGGAAGATAAGGGATGAGCTTGCTTCATGGAGGATTTGACTTGGCATGTACAAACTAAAAATGATGCATTACAGCCTCACTCAGGAATGGCCCTGAAAGACATTAAGGGAAAATCTTCCCAAATGGGTATGCTTCAGGGAGTGTGCCTGGTCATGCACATAACATGGAAAAGTGGGCCCAGTTAAGAATATACAAAGACTCATGGGGACCAAAGAATGGTTCGTTGGTTGGTTGCACCTAAAAGGAAAAAGATTGGAAGACTGAAGACAAAAAACTGGGAAGAAGAGGTATGTGGATGGACCTACTGGAGGTGGGCATAAGGTGTTAGGGTCTTTGTATTGTGTGTTAATGTCCAGCATGAGCATCCTTCACAAAAGAACCAACAATAACCAAAAGAAAAACTCAGCCAGTTGATTCAACAGCCTTTGTCATCCCAGTGCTGGTATCTGGCTTCTCAAAGGAGTAGCCATGGTGACGGGGATAGAGGCTCTGCCTAGGCCTAAGGCTGACTTAGCCACTGCTGCTTTGGAAACTCTATCCTGACAGCAACAGAAGCCAACACTGAGATCCTGAAAATAGGACCATCTCTTGAGAATAACCAGCCACTTGGTGGAGGCTGACTACATTGAAACCCTTCCACATGGGAAGGGGCAGCAATTCATCTCAGTTGGAAATAACACATATATTGAGTATGGGTTTGCCTTTCCTGC